TCCCAATCACCATTTTTATGAACATTTTCCTATTTATTAATAGTAGCTGCTTTGAATTCCCTCAAGTTTTATGCCAACTGCCAATTCTGGGTCCAGCACAAGCTTGAGATATATTACAAGTAAGTTCAGCTAGAAATGAAAATAAAAGGTGAGAAAAAAGCTCACCATATGCCAGCAAGGCAAGTTAATGGATGACAGGTAAAAGGGCAAGYGAATGGCTGCACATACCAATAATTCGGGAAGTGTAGGTGAGTTCAACCCCTAAAGACAATGAGGAAAAGGTATCAATCAGAGAGGGAAAAAAAAAGTACCAGGGTAAGTCAGGTTATTTCCCCTGCTCTTATCAAAGTACAATATCTGTTTTTTCTTCTCTGAGACATTAAAACTCTTCCAACTAATCTGTTACCTTCCCCTCTGTATATCTGAACTGATACCTGACCTTTGCATTGCACTTTTATCTTATTTCCTGGGATGCATAGATCTTGGACCCCAACCGAATACATTCAAAATATCAGTCACCAATTATATTGCAGACAAAAGCATAGGGAACAAAAAAAGTATGGGAGCATATGGCATTCAAAGACAGAGGACTCGGAAATTGATGATACAAATTAGCACCTTTCTGACTTGATTATTTAATAAGATGAGATATTCTGTAATGCACAGTCACCTCTAGGTGCTAACCAACCGTTCATTAGCAGCATTTTCACTGAACCGTAGGCTGGCCTTGGCAGGAAAGTTGTCTGATGTTCAAGATGAGATTTAGAATGCAACAGCTGCTTTGATTGCTGCAATATGGGTATTGATAGAGACAGAAAATTGCAAAAACTGAAGTTTATRGATAAGCCATCACAACAGAAATAGTCAGAAAATACCATATACATGAAGACAATTTAACAGAACTACACTGCTACTGTTGAAGTTGCTTTCTGTTATATCAGTATATAGAACCCACATAAAACATAGACCTGAAAGTGAGCAACATTCCTCTTTCTGGAGTTCCTCCATTTTCATGATCTACAAGGTTTCATAAAATGCCTATGTACTACGAATATGAAGTGGCTGATCATGTTGTCTTTAGAGCAGCATAGGAAGACAGAGCTTGACCCCAACTGTCTTTACAAGAAACAATGGTCCATGGAAAAGACTATTTAGGGATGCACAGATCCTGAAGGACAGACATTTTTGCAGCCCAGTTCCAGAGTTGTCTCTCTTCTTCCTATCTACTTGTCCAACATTAAATGCACCTCCCCCAAGTAAGGATTCAGTCAGCCCATCAGCCAAGGACTTTTGCCAGTATRAATGGCTAATATTTAAAGTAGTTCAACAAGTTTTGTTTCATTAAAAACTTCCATGGGAAGTGTTTACTTGTGGAAAGAAATCACAATCCTTTGGAGGAAGGTACAGTAGCCAATGTATCACAACCATTGTGAGAACTAATGTGAGAACGAACCCASGAATACATTTTCTTACTGTAAAGCACAACTTCATCAGATTGCTGTAGAATGTTGTCATTTCACTTTGACTTTAATCTTATTTTCCAGAGCATAAGTCTTTGYTCTTTACAGCTCTCATCATCAACATTTAAAAATGGGAAGTACTCTGCAATGTTTAGACATTTAACACCCTATCATAAAGCAGGGCTATGAAGACAATTCTGGATCATTTGAGTAGCTTATAGAGGTAATGTTTTCAGAAACAAGAAAAAATTCCAGATCCTGAACTTAAAACTGTTTCACTGAGGTGATTTCTCAGCACTGCAATAATTCTCCCTCATCCCTAGGGAGACATCAAAAAACCAGAGCACTTTCAATCATTACACACAGCTGAAATTCTTGGCATAAGTAAATCATCRCATTTCTGATTAAAGAGACTTTAAAGATCAGAATCAAAGTCTCAGGAACTTTCATTTACTCCCCAGAAAGCCCATTCTGCTTTCTGCCACTAAAACCTGGGCTTCTGTACTTTCAAACTTAACATAAAGACAGCTTCAGACTTTCAACTCCCAGTCAATTCTGTGAAAGATATATTTACATTTGAAATCACTTACGTAGTCTGAGAGACTAACTCAAACTGGATTTTTTCCACAACCCTTTTGTTTAATTAAACAAGATGCAAACCAGGAGCTAGAAACTTTCCAAAAGCAGGAATTCAGGATGTGTGACAGTGTTGTTAGGGTAAGGCCCACTGGATCCAGTCTTCCCTATAGAAAACTCACAGACAGAAAAATGTGCAGCTCTGAGAAAAGCAGGGCCGAGTCTTCCATGTATTTTCCACATTGCATATTCGCCTTTATTGACCTATTTTCTTTTATTTCTCTTGCCATTTGGTTTGTCCCCTTCTCACTATATGGAACCCAACAAATCCTTCAGGCAACAATCAGTGTTTTCTGCCATATTAGTCTTCATCCTGCTTTTGCAAGSTATCCCTTCTCCAGCGCTTCATCCATCCATACCACATGACTGTACCACACACCAAACAAGTGGCTATGTTTTAGATTGATTCACTACAGTAATAGCCTGAAATCATATAGTTTTTAGCTTGTACTGCTTCGCTATTGTCACTTATCCACCTTATATGGCAAGAATGGTAAAAATATGTCCCCTGAAAGTGATGAAATCTGATTTCAGTGTCCTTCACAAAGCACAGGGATGGAAGTTCATGCAAAACTTGTACAGACCGAAATAGTTCTTTTGAAAGTATGTCAGTAAAAATAGATTTCACACACGTATGTAATAAGACAAAGGTTAATTAGCTGCAACCACTTTTCTTGAGGTCAAGAGGAGTTACACCTGGGATGATTTTAGCCTAGAATAGCCACTTATGATGTGATTTTTTTTTTTTTTTTAAACTTAGGACATAGCACATCACACCATTTCTACTTGACAGTAAAGTGACAGGGCTAATCAAAAAAGCTATTTCCATAAGACACAAACTACTTGAAAATAACATGTCTCAGCATTCTGTACTCAGTATAACACTCAAGATTTCTGTAACTCAGAGAGGAGTGACAATATTTTAACTTCTTTTTCCTTTGCATTTTTCTCTTCCTTTCCCCACAGTTTGTGTAGATGGCAATATTCTGTGGATTAACAGCCACAGTATTTCCTTCTCATCTCTCCTTTATGAGACCTCAAACACATACAGCTGGTCAAGAGGTACTGTTCCTAAGGATGATTCATTCAGAACTTCTTTCAGTTTCACATACCAAACTCCCCAGGTTCTCCTAGTCATGCAACAGTCTCTGTAAAGGTCCTCCAGAAGCAGGACCCAGATGGTCTGGTAGTCCACCAGTACTGTAAGCCARGCATTACCAAAACCTTGTCCTAAATTCACTAAGGTTTACTGAAGCTGAGATSCTTTGAAGAAAAAACRTTTCATGTTTACCATGGAACCATCYCCATCTATCATTTTACTTAGATAGATAATATCCACCGATTTCTTAAAGTTATCTATCAGCAAAAGTCTTAGTAGCTTAATTAGGACTTCTGCTCCTCTCACAAACTCTTAAAAAAACTATTTACAGCACTACTAATCACTGTCCACACAGTTATGGTCAGAGAACAGGAACCCATTGAGGTAGCTTCAAACAGGACAGTCTTCGGTCTACTAGATTTTATCCAGCTTCTTATTTCAACCCTTTAAAGAAGGAGCACTACAGTTAAAGGCTCATCAGTGTTACAGTAAGAAGCACTCTATGCCCCAAGGTTTGATCAAAAGAGGAAGACAAAATTCCAAAGGACAGACAAAAGAAAAAAAAGTCAGATCAACAGAATACGGCATAAAAGCAACACATGCAAGGTCCTACAAGACATTAAATAGTGACATTCAGAAACTGTGCATGTCTGGTTTACTGGTTTTCTTTTTTAACCCCAATCCTCAAAACAGGAAAGGTGGGATAGAGAAACAAGATCAAATACTTCACCTTGTTTCCTTCTCTAATACAAAGTAGATATTTCAGTGTATCTTTTCAGTGTATCCTTAGGCAATAAATGAAAAAATATGTAGAATCACATCTGTAAAATAACTGGACAGCCCTTCCACTCAACATTTCTTATTTTCTTGCTGATTATGCAAAATGAAAGTGAGTCTGTTTGGGGTACAGCACTTGTTCAGATGCTTTGAATCATCTTGCACAACTCTTGTCCTTTTTTTATCATTCCTCTGGCTATATAGGTACCTAATTTGGRTTTGCTGGAATTAATGCTATGAATACATCCTGCTCACTTCATCCCTTATTCCAATTCCTTTTAACTGTACAGCTACCCCCTGCCAGTCCTTACGCCTATGGGGCAGCCAAATATGACTATGTGCTACAGTCAGTAAAGACTAATCTCCCTGCGAGGTTCCCATCCTGGGAATAAGTTGGAGACACTTCCTGTGGTTTTTCAGAAAGCATCTGAAGGACTACATTCCTGCATGGAGGAATTAATAGCTTCAAGCTTGTAAAGATTTACATATCTCCACAAATGTCAGTAAATCTGAAGCTATCATACCAGAGACAATGATTAGCACTGTGCATATTTAACAAAGGGGTAYTGAAATCTGATTTGCATATTTCTGACAAGCATGCAAATTCCCCACCRCTTTCACAACTTAATATCTACACGGTTCATTTTATTTTTATTAAATTTAACACATTCCACTGATGACCTTTAAAGAAAAGCTCACTTCCAGGCTTTTAAATGCACCACTGATCTGCTACACTGTGTCAGCCAAACAATGAGAGTTCCTAAGACGCTTCTGAAAAGCTACACTCTTACACAGATCAGTCCACAAAGTCCCACTGACGTATGCAATGCAGGGTTGCAGAATCTGCATAATCAGCTCATTTGTGGCATTCATTAACAAGCGATATAMTCTGCCAATTCAAACCCTCACCAGAAGGTTGCTCTAGCAAAGAGGAAATTGCCACACTGCAATTCAACAGATATGAAGTACATCAGCTGGGTAACAGCTAAGAAAATAGGCAAATGAAGATGTATGTAAGWTATTATTACCTCTGCTCCACAGACAATGAAAATGACCTTTGTTGAAAGGCTGGTTCAGAATCAGAAGGCAAAACTTCAGGTTCCCTGTAAGATAAATGTTGGTTCTTATTAGCAAGAATATTGATTTTTTTTTTAATCCTTTTTTTTAGATTTAATTTTTTCCAGATTAATTTTAGTCCAACCACCTCAGAGCAACTCCACTAATTTCCTTACTTCTTAGGTATTACCACTGTCAGATTGAGAAGCTGTCAGAACTTCATAATATACCTTGAAGTTTGTAAGGTTTTACTAAAGGTTTAATTTGTAAGTGCGTTTTACTTACTGAAAGCCATCCTCAACAGGATCCCACATCTATACAGCTCTCTCATTTAATCTCCAATTTGCTGCTGCTGCCTGGATGAAGCAATTACTGACATGAGCTGCACCCTTATCTGTGTTAATGGAGAAGGCTGGAGGAGACTCCATTTAAAGATCTCAACCTACATCCAATATTCCACCCTCCTGGAAGATGCAGAACTCTTACTGCCATCAGTGGCTTCTGCACCTACGTTTTCATATCATGTAGAAGCTCCAACTGTGGTAGATACATTACAAATAAAGAACAAAAGCCCATGACCCAGGAACATAAAATCAAAAGCCATTAAAGCAAAAGTGTACTTTAGCCTGTTTTATCCAGGTGACACTGCAGACTAAAAATCTCAGTGGATTTACCAGCCCAACCTGACTGAGCTCACAAAGCCTTCTGCCCTTGCAAAACGTGCATTGTGAAGGTYGATAATAAACCTACAGATGGAAAAGCCTTAAAAGAAAAAAGGATTTATTATATGACACACTTTGAATTCAAAGAGTAAATACATAAATCTTTTGATGGCTGCCTGTGGTGGGATTTGCATTATTTCACTTCCTAATTATCYTGCCAATCATATAGGAATACAAGTTTCCCCCGGAGCTTGATATCCTTAGGCAATMAAGTTAATGAATATTATTTGGTCATGTGAAGCCACTGTAAATGAAAAAAGAAAACCTCTATCAGTAGAAAGTCTTTTGAGAAGATCCGGTACAGCAGGAGGCAGAAGGTTACAGAAGCCTGTGGCTTAAGCCATATGATATTATCAAGGAAAATACAGCTGATCAAAGTCCTGAAGTTGAYGGAACATCTAGAGACGGGAGTTGGGAGATGCAGTCTTTAAAATAATTAATTAAATGCGTGGCTAGGAGAATGAAGTGAAGGTTAGCACTGGGATACCACTACTCTGTATCTTGTACACATTTCCTTTTGAGTGATTTAGGGCTTCCCTCCCCACTGACTCATTTGATGCCTCAGTTTCCTAAAACAGAGGCAACAGTATTGTCCTCCTTCATAATTATCAAGAGAAACATAACTGAAAATCTAGATGATTTTCAGTCCAGTAAAAAGTCTACCTGATTATCATAGCTCTTCTGCCTGGTGCTTTCAAATACCTTCCCTTGTGTCTTCTGCTTCCATCTTTGCTGACATAGTCCTCACTTCMATTTAATTCATGTATATATAGGGGAATAAACATTCATGAGGAATAAATGGAGCGTCTGAAGGACCAAGTAAACAAAGGAAATTAAGAAAAACCTTTTTCTTCATCTAGTCCTAACAGTTTTACCTTGTCCTTGAACTTTAAGGGAAAGGTAGAAAACAATACATTCAAACTAAGTGCCAATTTCCAGCTGCCTCCCTAAATGGGACCTCAGCAGCAGATCTCCTAATGATTGTTAAGTGAGAAAGGCTGCCAACTCCTTGTATTGAACATGATCATCTAGCGGTGCCCTCCACTGACAAGAGCCAGCAAATATCACAGGTTATGCTGCTGGTAAGATAACACAAACAGACATGGGTGCTGTATGCCTATTCTTGCTGGGGCATCACAAAAGGCATTTCTGTGCCTGTTTTAAACCCTTAAGCCATATCAGCATATGAAAACAGCCATAGATTCCACCTTTTTTGCTCATCAGAAGTGCAGTGAGACCTGTAAGAGCTGCTGGATCTTACATGTTCAGCTGTTGCAAAGAAGCCAAGAAGTAGATGCCCCTAGCACACACAATTAGGAGACAAGGGTTGTTTGTTGTTTGGGGTTTTTTTTTAAGTACAGTTATGGGTTGAAAAAGTGGAGAAATGGAAATCATTGTTTCGCCTGCTTTTAGAGCAGTGAACATTCCAGTAATTTCAAACCAGTCATTTCATGCAATTAATGCATGATAAAATGCTATGATTAATGCTGCCAAAATTAGCCTAAATGTCAATATTTTAATGGTGCCTGCTGAGTTAATATAAAGGCACACAAGACTCAGTCCTCAGTAGATGTAAAACAGTAATAAAATTGGGCTGCAATAATTTACAACCATTGCCCTCGAAACTATTAATAAATTGAGACATCTGATGGCAAAGACCACGTCAACAGACAGAATATGCAACATCCATCACTCTGAGAAAAACTGATGAGAGCTCACTGCGCCACTGCTCGGAGCACTCCACCAGCTATTCATYTGAAAACAAATCTACTTCAAGGCCATTTATCTTTAAAAGCCCTTAACAAATTAGGAAGCCTCTATCTCCTGGACTGTCTGTCCATTTATTTTTCACAAAGATAATTAGCAGCCTGACCCAACCATTAACGACATTGTGCTCTATTTGGACTAACGGGAAAGAGGATTCTGTAAGCAAGAAATCAGCGCAAAAATAACCTGTTCCCAGATATAGATACCTCCACTGAAGAAACTTCTGTGAKCCTTTTGCTAAAGGCAGAACAAGTTTGTCTTTTGCACAGTTTCTTCCATTTTTAGTATAATTTTCTCTTTCATTATGTACTTTTGCAGCTTTTCAGCCTGAGCAAATTCMACCATCTGCAGCAAAAGCAGAAAAKAATAAATTCCTCCCTACAAATCCACCAGTTTATTCTTGATATTTACACCAATACAGAGAACAAATGTAGTGAAGTCTTACAGTCAAAGTCCTCCTGTAGAGGAATTAGCCACATAGTAAGGTCTGATTTCTAGAGGAAAGGAGGACGACTATATGAAATTTTTACTTGCTTTTAAGGAACCAAATTCTTCCCCCCTTTTGTTTTTCTATTGGACGCTTATAAACCTTGCAGTGTTACATTTAATACATTCATCTTACAGAGTATGTATTAAAATGTACAAAACTACGTGAATAGGCAGTTATATGATAACATATAGTTAAAAAAAACCTTTTAGCAGACTTGGAAAATGTCTAATCTTTGAATTAAGTTGGATCACTTTTATTCCTGCTGGAAAACTTTCCCAAGTTACAAAGCAATCAATCAACAATGCCTACAAGTTTCTACTGGCACCATTGCCTCATCTTTCTGAAAACTTTTTTCTTTCTCTTCTTTCAAAAATTATTTAGCTGAACTTCTTTGATGAAACTTTTCATGGTTGCTTTGAAAGGACTTTTATAAAAAGTATTATGAACATCCCTGATAGCCTAGGCACTGCCTATGAACTGACTTTTTACCACATTGTAACTCACTAAGAAAAATTTCAATACATTTTAGAGCACAGATTTGCTATTCTATTCTTCTTGGCTTCTCCCTGTCATATTACACTCATCTAGCTATTTTATAAATATKTATAATATTGTTATGCATTTTTTATTGATTTTCCCTTGCCACGTGCCAGACTTCAGGCTGTATGTTGGGCACAAAGCGTATGCAAAAGGCATATATATTTTTAAATACAACATTTTCTCTGGTAGCCAATTAAATAATATATGCCACTTTGCTTCCCTGCAGTGTTAGAATCAAATTAGTAG